CTTCGGATGAGACGTTAAACCGAGGTCCTGACTCTGTGGTAGAGGTCTTCTCGGGTCCTAAAAACTGTACCCGACCCGAATCGACCCGAATCACTACTTACCCGAACCCGACGTGCATAAATTATTTTTTTTAAAGAAAAACCCGACCCGAGACAGACCCGATAAAATTAGACCCGAGTCCGACCCGACCTGACGGCATTTCCTTTAGAACCCGACTGGACCCGAACGTAAACGGCATTTACATTGTGCACAGCCTGCAGCCCTGCGTTTCTCAAAAATGCACTTAACATAGACGCGCAAGTGTAAGCGCGCTGAAGTGCTAAAATGTCAATCACACATCACTGTAACCCATTACGTCCTATAAAATTTGGCATAATGTTATTTACCGGTCCATACGAGGATTAGAACCACCATTCGTTTTCCCTGACATTTTTCGCAATTTCTGTTATCGCCTCCATGGTTTTCTGACAGTGTCGCGTATTTTTAAAATTGATTGACAGGCCTGGCTAAACGACAATTCAAATACTTGCATTTAGTCAAACATCCATCCACATGATGGCGCACTAGTTCTTCTTGGCAAAGGGAGGGGTTGGTTTATGTGGAGCGAGCAACTGAGTAAATAAATGCAGAGGCAACCGTGCTTATGCTTATAGCCCATTTGCACATAGAAGCACGGATTCGCTCTCTCACTTAGAAAAAGTGAGAGAACGGTGTCATAGAGTTGTTTTAAATACTGCAATTTTCTTAAATGCCCAACATAGTTTAAAATAATTCGGGTCTTCTCGGGTCCATTTGGAAAAGGCATATTTATTTTAAATTACCCGAGACCCGAGGCCACTAATACCGAACCCGACCCGTGTCCGAGACACTCGTCGGAGTTTTGGACCCGAACCCGTTCGGGTCTCGGGTCGGACCTCGGGTTTTCGGATCCAAGTGGACCCGTGAAGACCTCTACTCTGTGGTCATTAAAAATCCCAGGATGTCCTTCGAAAAAGAGTAGGGGTGTAACCCTGGCAACTCTGTCCATCATGGCCTCCTAATCATCCTGTGGTGGAAAATTTAAACTATATATTAAACTAACCAGGTTAGATTAACATCTAACCTAATTTAACATCTAACATTTGAACAAAATGTACTGTACGAAACCAATGGAAAACTTGTGACTTTGAGTGTGTGCGTGTGTGTGTATAAATAACATAATTTGGGAAATGAAACTAGACAGGTGTCTAAATTCGAAACTAAAAACAGAGTTTCGTTACCTAGTAACCAAAGGGCTTGTCAATGAAGAACCAATCAAATTAAGTAATGTTTCATGTCATTTTGCCATACCTCCTTATTCTATAAAACTGTTGTATTTGTGTTTACTCGGGGGATTCTCAATGGGATTTGTCTGAGATCCACCGGCCATGCTTATTGCTTCTTTTTGGGAGATTCTCTGAGAACTGCTCGAGACTCCCGGCCGTAATAAAGAACATTTAAAGGACAATTACTCAAGTAGTCGACTGGAGACTCGCTGATGTATAGTTAGGGAGCGGATGCTGTTGTTCGACTGGAGACTCGCTGATGTATAGTTAGGGAGCGGATGCTGTAGTCGACTGGAGACTCGCTGAAGTATAATAGTTAGGGAGCGGATGCTGTAGTCGACTGGAGACTCGCTGAAGTAGGGAGCGGATGCTGTAGTCGATAGGAGACTCGCTGAAGTATAGTTAGGGAGCGGATGCTGTAGTCGATAGGAGACTCGCTGAAGTATAGTTAGGGAGCGGATGCTGTAGTCGACTGGAGACTCGCTGAAGTATAGTTAGGGAGCGGATGCTAGTCGATAGGAGACTCGCTGAAGTAGGGAGCGGATGCTGTAGTCGACTGGAGACTCGCTGAAGTATAGTTAGGGAGCGGATGCTGTAGTCGACTGGAGACTCGCTGAAGTATAGTTAGGGAGCGGATGCTGTAGTCGATAGGAGACTCGCTGAAGTATAGTTAGGGAGCGGATGCTGTAGTCGACTGGAGACTCGCTGAAGTATAGTTAGGGAGCGGATGCTGTAGTCGATAGGAGACTCGCTGAAGTACAGTTAGGGAGCGGATGCTGTAGCCGACTGGAGACTCGCTGAAGTATAGTTAGGGAGCGGATGCTGTAGTCGACTGGAGACTCACTGAAGTATAGTTAGGGAGCGGATGCTGTAGTCGATAGGAGACTCGCTGAAGTATAGTTAGGGAGCGGATGCTGTAGTCGACTGGAGACTCGCTGAAGTATAGTTAGGGAGCGGATGCTGTAGTCGACTGGAGACTCACTGAAGTATAGTTAGGGAGCGGATGCTGTAGTCGATAGGAGACTCGCTGAAGTATAGTTAGGGAGCGGATGCTGTAGTCGACTGGAGACTCGCTGAAGTATAGTTAGGGAGCGGATGCTGTAGTCGACTGGAGACTCGCTGAAGTATAGTTAGGGAGCGGATGCTGTAGTCGACTGGAGACTCGCTGAAGTATAGTTAGGGAGCGGATGCTGTAGTCGATAGGAGACTCGCTGAAGTAGGGAGCGGATGCTGTAGTCGACTGGAGACTCGCTGAAGTATAGTTAGGGAGCGGATGCTGTAGTCGACTGGAGACTCACTGAAGTATAGTTAGGGAGCGGATGCTGTAGTCGACTGGAGACTCGCTGAAGTATAGTTAGGGAGCGGATGCTGTAGTCGATAGGAGACTCGCTGAAGTATAGTTAGGGAGCGGAAGCGGTAGTCGACTGGAGACTCGCTGAAGTATAGTTAGGGAGCGGGTGCTGTAGTCGACTGGAGACTCACTGAAGTATAGTTAGGGAGCGGGTGCTGTAGTCGACTGGAGACTCGCTGAAGTAGGGAGCGGATGCTGTAGTCGATAGGAGACTCGCTGATGTGTGAACGTAGCTAACGTCAATTATATTTAGATGCGCTAGCATTTAAGTTATACTAGAATAGTTAGTCTCAGGGAGACACATCTAAAATAGTTAGGTTTGAGGATAGAAAATCCATAACAATCCTATACTAATTGGCTTCATCACTGTCTCCTCTCCACCAATAAGCTGGTGTGTGGTGGGCGTTCTGGCGCAGAATGGCTGCCGTCGCATCATCCAGGTGGATGCTGCACATTGGTGGTGGTTGAGGAGATTCCCCCCTTCCATATGTGAAGCGCTTTGAGGTCCCAGGAAAAGCGCTATATAAATGTAACGAATTATTATTATTATTATTATTATTATGTGTCAAGTATACAGATGCAGAAAAGTGCCTAGACATTAAGTGTGTTATGTCTTCACTGATGATTATCACATTATACAATATCAGCCTCTCCCGGAGACTTCAGATGCCCCAACACCTGCGATGAGATGACTAAACGCCTGTGAAGAGACGAATCGACGCCTGTGAAGAGACGACTCAACGCCGGCGATATGTTATGCCCTAAATTAATACATGATTAAAGGGATACTTCAGGATTTAGCATTAAGCTTTGTATTAGTAGAAAATCTGTAGTATTTTCGAATGACCATGCTTTCCACCCTCATATCCCCCTGAGACGAGAGATTTATGTATATTTTGTCTGGAAAAAATCCTCCGATGACACAAAAATCGTCATTTTGCGTCATCGGAGGATTTTTTGGCCAGAGGCTAAAGACTACAGTCTGTAGTAGGGGCTGTTCCGCATGTTCTCAACCCGCCCATAGAGGGTGGGATCTCCCTCACAGAATGCACACATAGTGTCAGCCATCTTTTTTTGGAAGCTAAGCTAGCAGGCTCTTGTTCTGTGGAGAAAGCTGAGTAGTAGGGGTTACCATCCTCTTTTTCCCGGACATGTCCGGCCGTCGATGTCAGGGATTCAGCTTTTGCTTTCTGCAGTCGCCATTCATTGTTTACATGCACACCTTTTGTTTCAATCTAACTGAATTCATTCCGATTGGTGAATCTGAATGTAGTGTTTACATGAACGCTAAACAAGTGATTGGTTGATGTGCGTTTTAACATTGCTAAGAAAATTCCCGCTCCTCCGTGAGAGATACGAGACCGGTGCGTCTCACAGGTGTCGCTCATCAGTAATCACGCCACCAGCCTCGCGCCGTTCTCCTGCGGCCCTAGCCTCGTCCTGCTCGCCACAGTAAACATAATGAATGGCGACTGTAGAATGCAAAAGCCGAATCCCGGACATTTTGGGCGATCTCGAAACACATTTTCGGGCAGACTCATCACGGAGACTCACTAGTAGCCTAGACTTGTTGTTTAACTACTGCGCTCTGTTACCGGTAGGCGTGGCCTCCTAGGGCAGCGAAGCAAGTGCATTCTGGGAGTTGTTGTCTTTCATCCACATAAGCCAAAAATACATTTTCTGGCTTTTCTCAGTCTAGAAAGCTCCAAATTAAAAAATAATTTCACATTTCTTCTACATAAATGACCCATTTTAAATACACATTTATCATTCCAGAGGTGAAGTATCCCTTTAACTAACTGTATTTTTTCTATGTACATTTCTGAAATGCACTTTCTGTAAAGCTGCTTTGAAACAATATGTATTGTGAAAAGCGTTATACAAATAAATTTGATTTGAATTGAATTGAATTGAATCACTTGTCATATAAATAAATGAACTTGAAATTACTTTATTTCACATGTAGAGATTGCAGAGTGATACATGATGACCCAGTAAAAATGACTTCCAATAATCCTGAAATAGGTTAAAGTGTTTGTTCACCCTCATGTTACTCCAAATAGGGTTTCTTTCTTCTGTTAAACACAAAAGATGATATTTTGAACAATGTTGTTAACCAATCTGTTTCGGTGCCCATTAACTTCAATTGTATGGATGGAAAAAAAGAAAAAAACCTGAGAAATTGCTCAGAATATCTTTTAAAAGACATGGCATATTTGCAATGACATGAGGGTGAGTAAATGATGACAGAACTATACCTTTAAGATAAAAAGTGGCCCCTGCCCGGCCCTCCCAGTTACTGGTCTAACCGCCACTGACAGAGACAGGCACAAAGCCGACTAACAAGTATAAAAAGAAATGCAGAGAAACAACAGGTGAAAAGCACTTATGATCCAAGGAGGTGAAGACATAATAATCAAGAAATACAAGAAAATAGACGATGGTGAGGGACGTACACTCCAGACAAACTAAATTTACAGCTTTCATTTTTGTATATTAACTTTTAAATACACATTTTGTAATAAGAGATGTTCAACAATGCATGGGCTACTGTGTCTTCCAGATCCACTGCAACCTTGTTGCTTCTCTCCTACTGCTATCGCTTAGTGTCAGCGGCACCACAAACCGTAAGTATTAAGATCTGCTTTGACTGATACTGGTTAATGTGATGTTTGGGAGGCATTATATGTGTTAAATATAATGTTATGAGTGCAATTCTGTTTGTTGCAGTGGTAAAAAAAACAACAACAAAAAAACAGACAATCAGACAATGACATAATATTCTCATATATAATTATTACATAAAATTATCATTTTATTTATAATGTATACATGCTGGTATATTTGCTTATAAGACTTGAATAACAGCATTTTTGTTTATATTTTAGATATCTCTGTATGCATTGCACACAAATAAATAATGAACCCTTCTTAGATAAAACATTTATATGAAGAACCTATGACTTAGAATTAATACCCAAAATAATCAATAAACCAAAATAAAGACTCTTTTAGATATTAATGCACTGCGCTAATGGACTTGGTGGGTGAGAGTCTGTGGTAAATATCAGTTTTAAATCCACCTGTATGAAAAAAAAGATCACACTATAGTTTAAGGTCCAATTCTAACTATTAACTAACTTTGACTTTAGCCTCAATAAACTCTTAATTACTGTTTATTAATAAGGTAGTTGTTAAGTTTAGGTATTGAGTATTGGGTAGGATTAAGGGATATGGAATATGGTCATGCAGAATAAGGTATTAATATGTGCTTTATAAGTACTAATAAACAGCCAATATCCTAATATGCATGCTAATAACTAAAGTGAGAATTGGACCCTAAACATAAGTGCTACCCAAAAAATCTAAACAATTCACTAATGGTAGAACCATCACTGAATTTACTTAAGCTAGACTGTGACGTTATTTTCTTCTAGAACTGAAACAAAAGTTTGTTGCATTATTTTCCTGTTATCATTGTAAAGCTGCTTTGAAACAATCTGTATTGTAAAAAGCGCTATATATAAATAAAGGTGACTTGACTAGAGCGTGTTTCACCATTTAAACATGCAAGGTTGAAAATGTGTCCAGTAAAGTTTTCCTATTACTGCTAACACCCGTAAACATTCTTTATAGTTGAAATAACAGTTTTAATTGTACAGAAATTTTGTAAGGATTGTGTAAGAATTCCTCTTATCTTACACAGTTTTCTTTCGTGAAGGATGTCAATTCAGATAGTAACACTTTATAATAACTTTCATTAATAAATTAACAAACATATAATGCTTAACAGATCGTTAAATTCACATAGCTAGAAATATGAGATAATGTGCTTGTTAATGTTTACTAATGAACTTATTAAACAGTTGATTAATTAACATAATTATTTAATGTAAATTATAATGTTTACAAATGTCGTTAAACTTTAAATTTATATGACCATGCAATTCTTGAAAATCTACAAAATGTCATAAAATTTCAGTTCATATAGCCTATTACCTAATGCACTTTTTTACATTTACAAATGTACAAATACAAAAAAAAGCGTTATAGCTTCTTTTTTCTTTTTTTTTATAGGTATAGCTAATAGTGATCCGGATGTTCAAGAGAAAATTTAACAATATAAGAATGACTGGTCCCGGTTTATATTTTGAATCATTAACTATGTACTTATATCAGAAAAATGTATGACCTTTACAGACTGTGGTTATGACTTAATACATGATATGTTAACATGAATAGTGTGTGAAGTGCTTAAAATAACTAATTAAACTATTGTTATATGAATTGAAGTTTAATGAGCATTTATTTGCATTAACTTATTAAAGATTACATAATGATTAACAGATAATTATTTAATTTAAACATTAACAAGTTATCTCAGCTATTTGAATATAATTAACTAATGATCCGTTAAGCATTTTGATTTATTAATTAAAGCTTTTAATCATTGTAAACCCTCTGACAAAATCATTATCCTATTGAAATTGTATGACATTTATAAGCATTTCGATTTACATTAAATAATAATCTGTTAATCATTATGTGATGTCTAATAAGTTGATTAGTAAACATTAATAAGCACATTATCTTATATTTCTAGCTATGTGAATATTAACTAATGATCTGTTAAGCATTAGCCTATATAACGCTTGTAACTTATTTTTTAATGAAGGTTATTATAAAATGTTACTGGAAGTTCTTCCTCTGCTTGATCTTCATCTACAGTATGCATCTTTTTAACTGTTTTCCTTTACTCTTGTAGGGTCGGAGCTGCAATGTGTCCAAATGATCAGAGTGCCACGAAACACAGTGTTTAGAGCTCGTGTTATGACAGAGTTGAAGATAAACTGTACTATTACTCAACATGGATGTCACAGGAGCCCACAAGTCTCATGGTGCAAAATCTATGGAAATCACTGTAAAGCTTTAAATCTCTCAAATTATATAGAAACTGAGTGGAAGGAAATGACAGAGCATAAAGGGATGGCTTTCCTGACTTTCCTGAAGCTCTCAATGGAGGACGCAGGTTTATACAGATGTAAAGAAGGTGACAACTCTGTTAGCCATGTTATTAATGTCACTGTAACAGGTAAGTGACATTATCTTTTATTGGGTAAATGTAAACATACAGACATTTTATTGTTTGTAAATTTGAAACTATTATGTAGGTCCTTTACATTTTTATTGTTTTTTAGCAGATAATAATCTGCTAATATTTTTAGCAGATAAACAGGATGAGTTTTCACTGAATCCAAGCATCACAAGTATGGCCATTACAAAACATGATATTATCCCTTCAATGCCTACAATAATAGGTGATATGAATACATCTCCAAAGAATGATCTGCAGTGGGTCTGGCCATATGTGTACATCTGCACTGGAATAGCGGGGCTGGTGTTAGTTATGGCTGTTACATTACTTTATGCTGTTAGACGCCAAGGTGAGTGGTTCGAGTGCTTTAACTAATACAGCTGCTTTAAAATCATACTTTTCCTTTTGATCATATGATTTAAAAAGAAAAAACTTTTTTTAGGGAGAAAATCGACAGGAAAAGATATGGCATGTAAAAATCAGGTATCAAATGTTTTAATTTTATTCAGTGCAACTCTTTATATCTGTTGAATAATGCATTAATAAATGCCCTGTTTCCAATTCAGTGCATAAAAACACAAAAAAGCGACCTGCTTCTTCCTCCTCATCTCTGCCTGAACTCAGACCTGCTGACCTCTGTCATATATCGTGTCTAAGAAACTATACATCAGAAGAAGAGAATGCTCTTTTGTATGCTTCTGAATCTTCAGGCAATGTCATGTGGTCTTTGAGACAACTTTTTTTGTGATCTGACTATAAAGAAATTTAGTTCATATATTGCAGTTCCGATTGATTTAAAGTAGTAATATGACATACAGTGGAAGACATTACTCCACACTTGCTTCATTTATGTTGTATTATTGTTTTTTTGCAAATCACTGATTGTTATAAATGTTTTCTTCAATAAATTCAATATAAAACCATGAAGAAAAGATATTTAACCAACACAAACACAAACATTTATTCCTGGGAGCACTATGAGCATTATTTACTAAGAGCATGTGGACTACACCTTGGCTCTGATGCTACAGTATAATGTTTGATTTAGATGATTAAGATTTTAATCTACCATCCACAAAAAAGAAAACGTATATCATGGGATAGATATACAAACCAGTGTGATCAGAAAAAGATAAAATACATAACATAATTTGAAGAAAAATATAACTTGTGCAAATACACTACACTATAAGTTTTTCCAAAACTTTTTAACATTATGAACTTTGCTGTAAACCAGGTAAGGTTTTATTTATTATTATTTCCTTTTATGTTAAGAGGGTGAATGAAAACCTCTGAATCACCTATTTGTTGTCTTTTAACAATGCAAGCTTAAATACAGTATATTGTGACCGACAGTGACACACAGTTTGATTAACAAAGTGCATGTTTACTTTATTATTTCAAAGATTTCAGATAAATTTATACAAAACACATAGACGTGTGAATAGAAATGGGAATGGGAAAGGAAATACCCCATTTCAGAATGACACTGGTTGTAAACTATGAGAGTACTTCCCTCTAGTGGGAAAATGTTTGTAATACTTTAATCTCTTTAATCCAAACATCAAGACAATAACTTCGCACCTAAAGCCAAATGGGTGCTCATGTCTAAAAGACTGTTTCCCCTGATAAAACTTTGTTATTTTTATTACACACATCAAAACATCTGTAAATCTAACAATAACATTTTGTCTGTTTATTGACTTTTCTATGGTTACAGAATATCAGCTTTCATATAGTCAGCTTAGATTTAGTTAACATGTAAGAGTATGACTTAGTACAGCTTGGCTATGAAAAAAAATGCTTTACTAAAATATACCGTCTATAATAAATAAGGCATTTAGTGTTGAATGTGTTGTGATTAAATGTTTTTATACTGTTAGACTGAATATCAGTTATATTAGAAGACGTTGACCTAGAATCATCTGTGATTCAGAAAGAGGCCACACGGTTGTTTGGTCAGGACGAACATCTGAACATAGCAGCATTTCTTTTCATTTCAGTCAGGCTAAAGAAAAAAAAAAAAGAAACAATTTGACAAGTGTTAATGTCCTAGAATTACACAGCCAAAAAGCCATTGCTATGTTCAACCTAACCTTCACAAATAAAGCTACAGCTAAACTCCTACAGCTAATGTTTTACTCACTGCTCACAATCTCAAGTTGATACAGCTAGGGTTGGGTTGAATGATCTAATCACAAAATTATTTTATTATTCCAGTAGAGCATTTTTCCTGTCTCCCATGAGATTACATCAATACTGAAAAAGAATGAAAAATAAACTACTTTTGAGGTGGATAACATGGAAGTTAGTCTTCTGTTATCAGAATGATTTTATGAGCATGAAGAATCATTTTAAATAATTTCACTCATTTGGTTTAAGAAAATGAGTTTCCCCAGGTGCTACTTCTAAAATGAAAATTAGCTTCGTTTTTTAATATGACTGGTGTAAAATATTTTCTTCTCTAATCAAAATATTATCCAAAACAGGAAAAAAACCAGCCATTGTGTTCAATTTCACTTTCCATCTACTTAGTCTTTTGAAATAGGCTATTTCCTTTAACTAAAAAAAAAAAAACTAAACACTACACAAACACATTTTTGATCTTTTGATACACTTAAAATACTTCTTTAAATTACACAAGTATATTCAGTTTTTTTATAGAGATGGACATGTGCAGCATAATATGAATGACCTTTTCCTTTCCCTTTCTACCTCTCTCTGTACAAACTAGTAAAATATCTACTATTATAATTAGTCCAGCTCAAACTGATGCTTGAGCCAGAGGATTACCGCTCAAACAAGCAGAGCAGCATTTTGAAAACACCACGGAACCACAGTGTTTCCACTGTTCAGAGAAGTCAATGGATGAACAGCTTTGCAAAATACACTGCTATACGAGGTTTTACATACATTTACAATACTGATAAAATGAAACAAAAAATTGTTTCAGAGATACATTTATTGCCTAATGCCCCTAGTGAACAAGTTAAAGGTTATAATAGCAAATAAAAAGCTCAAAGATGTTTACATGACGAGAGAGGAAACTTTTGGGAGGAACCAGGCTCAACTGGGAGAGCCCATTCTCCTCTGGAAACTTCAGGCAAATTATATGACACTAATATTTCAGGAGCAGCAACACATAGTTTTGGGCCATATGGATTGTAGCTTTTAGATCAGAGTGCTTTAAATGAGATTCAAATGCTTTAAAGGTCAACATTAAATCTAAATCAAATCACATTAGGTCTTATTGTGAATGATTCATCAGAGCATGTTATTCCAAAGGAGGGAAACATTTTCTTCATGATCTTTAATCAAAATATAATAGCCAAATAGCTACTCAGACGTGCACTCTCACCCGCCTTTAACACCAACTTTTCATGATTCAATCAAATCCCATTGGATAAAATGATCTCCAGTCTCTCTCTTCCCCGCTCTTGTTTGTCACAATTCATTTTCCATTTCCTTGACTCTGTAGAAGCACTTTAAGTAACTAAAGAGGGAGATGATATGATGCTTTTAAACAATTATTTCCTGTTTCTGATGGCAACTCAAAAGACATCAATCATAGAATGAGGTGAGGCTGAGAGGGCTTCTTGCAAGATACAGGAAGTGGTAACTCCTAAGACTTCCTGTGGTTCTGTAGATAAGCGTGGCTCTGTAAAACATACTTCACCCTTGGCTTTGGTTTCACTAGTAATCTTTGTTACTTTAACTTATACATGTTTTCTGAAAACAATAAATTTTAGTGCAACTTTGTGATGCAATAAGATTCAAACCATAAACCAGTCAGAGCAAAATAGATTTAGGGCCACTTAACTGTTTGTAAGTCAATGTGTGCGGTAATGAGCAATAAGAGGACAGCTCAATGAACAAAATCTGAACAGAATGATGTAGACTTTACGTATATATGGTCTTAAGTTTCTGTTCTCCCTAGAGCCTTTGTAAATGTAGCTGGTTCAAATATAAAACAAATAATATATTTTTTCCTTTCTACCCTCTCCGGTGACCTACAGATTCTAAGAGAGGAAAGTGGAAAAGAATAAAGCAGGAAGGAAAACTTGGGACAGATTGTGTGGAGTGAGAGGTTAGTGAGTCACTCTGGTGTCGCTCTCTCTCTCTATTTCCGACAATACATTTCTCCATTAGCTTCTGTTTTCATCATCTCCTTTGTAAAAGATTTCTGGTGGAGTTTGTTTACAATAGTGCAGCCTTTAAAGGGTTAGTTCACCCAAAAATGAAACTTATGTCATTAATGACTCACCCTCATGTCGTTCCAAGCCCGTAAGACCTCCGTTCATCTTCGGAACACAGTTTAAGATATTTTAGATTTAGTCCGAGAGCTTTCTGTCCCTCCATTGAAAATGTATGTACGGTATACTGTCCTTGTCCAGAAAGGAAATAAAGACATCATCAAAGTAGTCCATGTGACATCAGTGGGTTAGTTAGATTTTTTTTGAAGCATCGAAAATACATTTTGGTCCAAAAATAACAAAAACTACGACTTTATTCAGCATTGTATTCTCTTCCGGTTCTGTTGTCGAGCCGCGTTCAGTGACGCTGCTGACGTGTAATCTGGTGCGCCCGAGCGTTGTTTACAGTCTGAGGGAGACGCATGCTGTAAACAAAACAATCTTCGCAAACATGTCTAAGGATTTCGACACAGAGGAAGACTTGCATTTTTTTGCCCAGCCATATTTATTTGAACCCGAATACACGGACGCACCAGACACACGTCAGCAGCGGCTTACGTCATCAGCGTCACTGCGGACTCGTGAATGCGGCTTGACAACAGAACCGGAAGAGAATACAATGCTGAATAAAGTCGTAGTTTTTGTTATTTTTGGACCAAAATGTATTTTCAATGCTTCAAAACATTCTAACTAACCCACTGATGTCACATGGACTACTTTGATGATGTCTTTATTTCCTTTCTGGACAAGGACAGTATACCATACATACATTTTCAATGGAGAGACAGAAAGCTCTCGGACTAAATCTAAAATATCTTAAACTGTGTTCCGAAGATGAAGTCTTACGGACTTGGGACGTCATTAATGACATAATTTTCATTTTTGGGTGAATTAACTCTTTAATAGGATGGACTGACAATATATTAATATAAAAAAAAAACTAAAAAGTATTTACATATTATATTATGAATATATTTGTATACACATATTTTACTATTATGTAGATATTTTGAACATGCATTAAATGGTCGCCTAAAATACTTCAGTCCTTCAAAATGACCCTCAACAATAAAAATAAATCTTGATTTTACTCTTACCAGTCACCAAATTTCAAAGCTACATTTATTCTGAAGTTGTTGCTTAACCCCATGTCAAAAAAATTTAGTGTCAAAAGCCAAGTAAAAAAAAAAAAAAAAAAAAATTCCAGATTGATCCAAAGTAAACAGGATATCTTCTTCCTGTGCTTATTCTTGCATGATGTGACCTTCTACATTATTATGTGTTCACCCTTACAATCTAAGCACATTATATTTTCTGGGATTAAAAACATTAAAGTTGGCATGAAACACAAGTTGTGAAAGTCATGTCTTTCCTTATATTGTGAGATATATCCGTGTCAAATGGTAAGATGGGACTTGCTTTGTCCATTAAGAATTGATTGGATTGTTGGGATTTGCTATTGCTAAGATTTCATGTGAGTGACAGGTTGCCCTGCCCTCGTGTCAGTAAACAGTCATCAGAGAAGAGAAAATGGAGGGGAAATTATTTTGATTAATATGATGGAACATAAATGTTTTTTAAAATAATGATGTGCACAGATAAATCATTTATAATAAATACTGCATTATACGATATTATGATATAACACGATATTAAAGTAGACAGACATTTTTGTGTTGCTGTACTGACCATATCAGCAGATGAAGTTAGCACCTCTTCAGGCAGATGCACAGACATATGAGCAGCACAAGGGCCACACAGCTCGCTGAAATGAGAATGATATGGGCGTTCCTAGCTGTAACAAAAAACAAACCCATGCATTAACCAAATAAATCTAATATTACCAACCATCTAGATATAGTATAGCCCTAAACAGTCGAGTAAGTTTCACTCACGTTTATTCAGAGACACATAGATGGCAGGCCCAAGTCCCTGATGATGAACTTCACACTTCACAAGTTCATCGTCCAGAAGTTCAGTCTGCAGTTGAATGGAACTGACCACCATTGTGGTTCCGTCCCCTAGCTGGTAAAATGATGTCACGGCAGGGCCCAGTGTTTGATTATGTCCCTCCACGTTCCAAGAGATCTCTGCTGCAGGACGTGACACGGCTGAGCAGTTCGCCTCAACAATGCCCTGCGATACGGTGACGTAACTGGCCTCAGGTTTGGGTAGGACTAGGAAAATTACATGAAGTTCATTACATATTTAAGTAAGACATTAACATTATAATCTTTGTAACAGTGTGAAAAAAAGCCTCCAAATGAATTCAAAGACATTACAGTTGTGGTAAATGAAAACATTGAGCATTATGTGGCTATAAGGGGTGTAACGATATTCGAACCGAACCGAAAAACCGCGATACAGAACACACGATTCGAATCGCGATACTCTCATTGCGTACCGAACACGCCCCTCCCCGCCCCCTGCTACCCCGGCCCCGCCCAGCCCGGCTCAATGGACCTCATGTCTTGTGTACAGTACACAACAAATTCAGTTTTGTAGCCTAATAACCACCATTAACACCAAATAACAAGCTCCGTGTTTTGTTACTTTCGATAATAAGCAAGGTGTAATCTTTCAAATTCTGTCTATTTGATCACGAAATTCAAACAATAAATGGCGTTTTGGCGCTCTTTGATGTGGCGTGACAGATCGCTGTATGCCTACTAAGCTCCTCATTTCAAACGGCAGCGCGGCGCGCGGGTAAACGCGATCATCTCTTCCTCAGTTACAGAATGGACACCTGAAGGTATGTTGAAAGATGCAGTATACTTACTGAAAGGCATCATAACTAGTGTAATCGCTCAATCAGTGTTTCAGCAGCGGAAAGACGTCAATAAAACAGCATAGCTTGTCACTAGCATTATATTTACCTCAACAGGCAAGTGATTCAGTGTCCACAACTTTGGTTCCTATAAATGAACTCTTGCACTAAATAAATGCACCATGTTAGCCTATATTATATTTTACTTAACCTGTTAATGATATCTTGATTATTTAATGTATGTTTAAAATATCTTTCATGAAAATGAAAACTGTGTAAAGTATTATATTTCAATAACAAATTAGAGTAAAAACACAAGTTAATGCAAAAACTGCCTTATGTTCAGTTTACATGTTTTCATACAATGTGTTGTGTGTTGATTATTATATCTAAAAAATAAATAGCATCTGAATTTAGGTTAAAAGTCTAGGCTACAACCTTTAATGTTATAGTAATGTGCGGCTCCCTATATAGTTTACAGATTTAGCCGATTTTTTTTTAATCATTGTGAAACGTTTAATTGTAATTGAATTAATTTAAAGAAAGACCATTTTTTCGTTAAACCACTGTTTAAAAAAAAAGAAAAAAAGAAGCAATTTTAGCTTTCTAAACCGAACCGAACCGAGACGTCAAAACCGTGGGAAAACCGAACCGTCAATTTTGTGTATCGTTACACCCCTACTATATATCTATCTTTAAATTGTTTTTGCTCCATTTTCAAAATTAGTATTTTGCAGAGACATTTTTTTAAATGGTATTATCAGTTGTTTCCATCTATCCTTTTTAGCTGGGAACCCTTACAACAGTCCAAAGTGTGCCAAATATGTCCAGTACAAATACAGCATTGGTCTTGTTGATTTTTTTTTTTTGTATTGTAAGTGGTAGCTTCATTCAGAAGACAAAAGAAGGCACTTGTGTTGTTATGCTGATTACAAGCCGTCAGACGTTGGTCATGTCTGCGGCAGACTCCATCAAAGAGGGACTCTGTGACATAAGTCAGATAAAAGAGAAAGAGACAAACCATGACAAGATGAGGGGAAAGTGAGGCTCTGTCCATTTTATTTTTGTGGCTGTGAGAGCTTTTTGGTGACAACAGCCAGACTGTTTGGGGGATATCAACAGAGAGAAAGCAAACACAGTGGAGCTCTGTTCTAGAGGAACAGAGACACAGTAATCGCACTGGCCCTCATCCCAAACTATTCCCTAAACTACACTCACAGCCCAGCATTAAACCAGTGTCAGCTCCTGATTTTGAGCTTTCTTCCGAAGTAGAATTTACTTTGCAATGAAAAGAATGTTTTCAACAGCGAAACATCCCTTTCCGCAAACATCGCCATTGTAAAACAGTTGCATGAGATAAAGAATGTATAATGTGTTATTTATTGTGATACTCCATTGAAACAGGAAACGCTACTGAGTAAAAGTTATTTCTGTAGAAATGTAGTATTTTTGGAGTGAACAAGGAACTAATCCATCAAATTAAAGTAACAGTTGACCAACATTTTTTAATTCTGTCATTTACCCAAAGTGTCGTAAAAACCATCACAAATGTGGTCCATATGAATTCCCTCCCTTGACTCTCTTTGGCGTGCTCACCAAGAGAGAGGTAGGCTGAGACCCAATTCGCCTACTTATACTACGCCCTAAAAGTATGTACTCTTTTTGTGAAGAAAAAGTACATACTTTTGAGTGTGTAGCAAAAGAGTAGACAAGCTTTAGGACATACCACTTCGTCATCTTTAACGGACCACTCTTTCACTTAGTTATGTGCATCCTGTCATCGTAAACTGTCCTGTCAATCATCTTGTCACAGTTAAAATCCTCCATTCAATCTAACTTAATTTCCTACCGTTTCGGAGAGAAATGTTCACAAAAGTTCACAATGCTGCTGCAGATGAAATATAATGTGGACAATATTGAATAAATACATTTTCCTCAGGTTAGATACTGATAATTTATCACTCAAACCCCTTTATTTAAACCTTTCTACATAACCGCCGGACACGCACATCCTCTATGTCTGTAGTTTTTTAACACTTTTTACTCGTGTTTGTATTTCTAATCCAACGCTACATTTTGATGATTGATGGGGGTTAATGCTAAAGCTCTGTATGTCATTTATTATGGAGCAAGAACCCCATAAGGAACCATACCGCCAAAGATAAATTGTGTTCAATAAACTCAAGTAACTTGCCAAAGTGGTCTCGTCTGAACTACATTTATAATTCTTTTATGGCTCTTTTGCATCCTTTTTGAAGCTTGAAGTCTTCAGTCTTTATACATCGTGATGGCATGGAAAAGAGCGACCAAGACAGTCTTCAGAATTTCTCAGTTTGTTATGTTTTTATAACACTTCTTAATTAATAATTGTTTTCTAGGCTTGTCATTGACATCTATTGTTCGTTTTTAATTTGTCTTTTATATTTAGTATGTTTCTTTATTAGTTGATTTCAGGTTTTACCTTTGTAGGAACATTTGGTCACAACAATGTAGGCAAAATGTGAACGACACGCACACAAACACATTATCTTCCTTCCTCACTTGCACTTTGTCTCTCCACTTCTTACAAATACACCCACTCAGACATACACTTAAACACATTTGTATGACCCGGAAGACAGACAAAAGGGGCTGTGAAATACCCTAACAACCCTTATGGAAAAAAGCACATTGATTTGCCATTTGCACACGTGTTCACATATTGTGCGTATGTGTGAAAATGTTCCATACCCACACATGTATGATTTAGTGAAATGTGAAATGTATGTCCCTTTAATAGCTGTGACAGCTTAATTCTGTGGCACTGTTATTTAGAAACATACTTGTGGATATTATAACATTTCAATTTTAAATAACATTTTAAAACATTTATCATAGAAGAGGCATATTCAATCTATTTTATGAATTGCATTTTTAGTGTGCTTTTTATTTTAACTAATTAATAGATCATGACAAAAAAATGTCATTGACCCTTATTCAGAAATACATTAATTTGTTTCAGGGGTGCTCAATCCTGAAAGTGCGTGTCTATACCACGAATGTCATTTCTCGTGCCATTTATACGCCAAAAATGGTTTTTGCGTCTATATGATACGCAGTTTTCGCGTGCATATGATACGCACTTTATGGCGTGTAATACGCACGCACTCCCCACCCTCCCTCCCCCCTAAACCTACCCAAGGGGTTTTCAGTGCGCAGCATATGCACGCAAAAACCATTTTTGGCGTATAAATGGCACGAGAAATGACATTCGTGGTATAGATACGCACTTTCATGAGACTGTGTTGAACAGCCAGTTTAGATTCAGCCCTAATAAATCACACCTGAACCTTATAATCAAGTATTTGGGTTAATTAAAATTCCAGACAGGTGTGTTTGAGCATTCCTGATTTATTCCAAACATTTTAGAGACTACCCAAATACATGTCCTTTATTTTAAAGCAAATAAAGGTCACACATTATATTAGGTGTCTTTAACTATGTGTTTACATAAAAAAAAAAGATTAGTATTTATTTATTTTATTGTGTTCATGTTGTTTTGCAAAACACTTTTGCTGATATTGAGGTGGGATAGGGGTAAGGTTAGGGAATGTTTTTGTGGTGTGGGTGAGTTAAGGTGTAAGGGAATGGTCAACAGTACAATTATAGATGTAATTTCAGAAAATAATTACAGATGCAATTATATGAAGGTATTTGTTAAATATAAGTACAATGTAAAAACATGTATGTACACAATGACTGCATTTTATGAAATTATTAATATAAATGTTGGTACACAGTTAGTTAAAGACACTTAATATAAAGTGGTACCCAAATAAATGTGTCTATAAGCTTATCACTGGCATTTGCACTTACCATAAACAGATAAGCAAGCTGTTGCACTCTTAATGCCATCTGGATACGTGTGGAACTCGCAGGTGTAACAGCCCTCATCCTCTGTCTGAGCCTGGTGTATGGAAAGCTTGGATTGCCCAAGTGAGGGATTTAGAGTTACCCGACCCTTGAAAGGTGTCTCAACGATGGGTCTGTCATTCTTGGCATAAGAAGCAACAATGGCGGTGTCCCCTTGCTCAGCTGTTTTTTTCCATAAAACCTGCTGGACTCGCTTACTGAGAATGTACTTGCACAAAAGGGAAACAGGCTTTCCACTCACAACTGTTTTATTGTCCATTAGTTCCACCGTTGCTGGAAGGAATAAAAAATAAATAAAGTGAAGAGATTTTACATGCTCTTTAACCATTAGGTAGATATGTTCACCCAAAAATGAAAAATCTGTCATCATTTACTCAATGTCATTTCAAAGCTGTATGACACAAAAGAAGTGTTGATAATTTTTCATTATTTGACATTATTTTTTTAAAACATTTTCTTTTATGTTCCACAGAAGAAAGGCTTGAAGAGACATGATGGAATTAATGACAGAAATTTCATATTTGGGTGAACTATTTCTATAAGACCATGTTGCAGTGAATACTTGTTCTATGCGCGACATTAGTGTCAGGATTATGTACCTGTCTAGTTAACTTATGAGTTTTGGTTCAGTCCTCATTGTTTTCTGTTTGCCCGTTTCTCCTTGCCTTGTCTGTTTCTATAGTCATTAATTGAGTTACCCAGGTCTTGTGTGTTCCGTTAAAGATCTCTGTGTGTTTTTAAGCCCTCAGTTTTCTCAGTTATGTGTTCCGTGGTGTCTATGTTTGTGGTTGTGTTTTCCCCTGAGCTTCTCCTGTTCATCTGTGGATTATATTAAAGACTGTTTCCTTTTGAGCTACTCGTCTTAGTGTGCTATTTTACTACAGCCATGTGTGACAGTTAGCATACACTAATTGCTTTCATTTTTAAACCACACTCAGGCTGATAAAATGTAACTAATCTCAAAACCTATGGCAGCTTTTATCTGATCAAGACTCTTGTGGTTTTCATGATAGTTTTTTGTCAGTAAAAGAGGGCAGGCAAAAAAAAGTGGTTCTCACCACTTCCTGCTTGGGCATTATTTATAACAATTCTTCAATGTCTTGTGAACGCAATGTTTTAACAACCAATAACAGTTCTTCATTATGAAACCATCTTTAGTGCAGGTCTAGAAAATATAATTTCCTCTGTTTGATGACACTTTGATGAGTGATATTTCCTTTTAAATTCATATTTTTTAATTATATACTGTATATAATACACTCACCTAAAGGATTATTAGGAACACCTGTTTAATTTCTCATTAATGCAATTATCTAATCAACCAATCACATGGCAGTTGCTTCAATGCATTTAGGGGTGTGGTCCTGGTCAAGACAATCTCCTGAACTCCAAACTGAATGTCAGAATGGGAAAGAAAGGTGATTTAAGCAATTTTGAGCATGGCATGGTTGTTGGTGCCAGACGGGCCGGTCTGAGTATTTCACAATCTGCTCAAATACTGGGATTTTCACGCACAACCATTTCTAGGGTTTACAAAGAATGGTGTGAAAAGGGAAAAACATCCAGTATGCGGCAGTCCTGTGGGCGAAAATGCCTTGTTGATGCTAGAGGTCAGAGGAGAATGGGCCGACTGATTAGAAGAGCAACTTTGACTGAAATAACCATGCAGCAAAGCATTTGTGAAGCCACAACACGCACAACCTTGAGGTGGATGGGCTACAACAGCAGAAGACCCCACCGGGTCCCACTCATCTCCACTACAAATAGGAAAAAGAGGCTACAATTTGCAAGAGCTCACCAAAATTGGACAGTTGAAGACTGGAAAAATGTTGTCTGGTCTGATGAGTCTCGATTTCTGTTGAGACATTCAGATGGTAGAGTCAGAATTTGGCGTAAACAGAATGAGAACATGGATCCATCATGCCTTGTTACCACTGTGCAGGCTGGTGGTGGTGGTGTAATGGTGTGGGGGATGTTTTCTTGGCACAGTTTAGGCCCTTTAGTGCCAATTGGGCATCGTTTAAATGCCACGGCCTACCTGAGCATTGTTTTTGACCATGTCCATCCCTTTATGGCCACCATGTACCCATCCTCTGATTGCTGCTTCCAGCAGGATAATGCACTATGTCACAAAGCTCGAATCATTTCAAATTGGTTTCTCGAACATGACAATGAGTTCACTGCACTAAAATGGCCCCCACAGTCACCAGATCTCAACCCAATAGAGCATCTTTGGGATGTGGTGGAACGGGAGCTTTGTGCCCTGGATGTGCATCCCACAAATCTCCATCAACTGCAAGATGCTATCCTATCAATATGGGCCAACATTTCTAAAGAATGCTTTCAGCACCTTGTTGAATCAATGCCACATATAATTAAGGCAGTTCTGAAGGCGAAAGGGGGTCAAACACAGTATTAGTGTGGTGTTCCTAATAATTCTTTAGGTGAGTGTATATATTGTTGATATTTTTAAAAAAGTTTGAAAGAGATGACCAAACCTCACCCATAAGTGAAAGACATGTCCTTCCTCTCTGCTGCCCGGTTGGGTACACATCAAAAAGACACTGGTAGCAGCCCTCATTGGCTGGCCCAGCTCTACCAATGGTGATGACGCTGGTGTGAGCTGGTTGACCTGCTGTATGCTGTGAAAGTTTGACTCCATCTTTGGTGATGTGGTCATACTTATCAGGCTGATAGTGAAGTATAGTTTTATTTGCCATGTCCAACCACAGTACTTGTTTTAAAGCCTCCCCTGTCTCCATTGTAATATTGCAGGCCAGCATGAAGGGAAGTCCAGCCATCACCTGCAGATGAGATGGTGCAAGTACCTTACCTAGGAAATATCGACAAAACTGATATCATTTAAAATGTTTAAATAATTAAGTAATAATATGCTATCTAATAAATGCATCTACCTCTTCTTTAATGAGCAATTTTTAACATTTTGAATTCAACTATATTTTTTTATTTTAAGGGGATGTGATGTATAAAATGTCAGGGTGATATAACTGTCCTGATATCACAATGAAGAAAAAGACTGATTAAAAGAATTGCATTAGAAAAAAAATAAAACGAAGTATTTTGGCATAATCTTTTACTTTGTTTATTAGATTTCACAAAAAAGCTTTATTGCTAAATAATATATACTGTGTATATATATATATATATATATATATATATATATATATATATATATATATATATAAAAGCTATATATATATACACACTGAACAAAATTATAAACGCAACACTTTTGTTTTTGCCCCCATTTTTCATGAGCTCAAAGATCTAAGACTTTTTCTATGTACACAAAAGGCCTATTTCTCTCAAATATTGTTCACAAATCTGTCTAAATCTGTGTTAGTGAGCACTTCTCCTTTGCCGAGATAATCCATCCACCTCACAGGTGTGGCATATCAAGATGCTGATTAGCAGGGTTCTAAATTAACTTTTTTGATCACCAGCCAATGTGGCTGGTAACTTTCTAAAGTTACCAGCCATTTAGAATTTCCACTAGCCAAATTTTTTCCGGTGAAAATAAGAGAAATTATGAGTGCCACTGAATGCATTTGATAATTTTATTAACATTGTTGGCATGAAAAACACATATAAAGTAGGCCTACAATACAAGACAGAAAGTGCAAACATTTCATTTCAAGTTTGGGATCTATCTCTATTAGGTATGTGCACGAATATTCGAATTTTCGCTCTGTAATTATTATTAAAAAAATAAAATACTAATACTAATACTTTTTTTCTTCAATTTTTTTTTCGCAGTTATAATTAAATGCACTGGGTGGAGCATTTAACAAGTGGATTGTGTTTTTGATCACATAATGTCGTTGTCTGCCTCGCGAAGTTTGGAATTACTTAGATGAAAATGATAGCCTATTACAAAATGGAATTACGTTTAATCAATTATTTATTATTATTATTATCATAATATCACCACCAAAATGAGAAATCACATGAAATCCAAAGAAACAGCAGTCGACTGAGGAAGCAGCTATCCATCACTGCATTAACGACTGCAGGTCAGCAGCTGTACACCGATATCTTCTGGTAGCAAAATGATTTTGACATATGCTTCCTTTAAGTTTCGTTGAGGGAGACAGGTTTAAGAACAGAAAACGCAAAGTGCTGTTACTTCACTTTGCACACACACGCGCGCGCGTCTCTGCAACGCCTGTGTGTCAGCGCAGCGCGTTTTCTCACTCGAGCATGTGGATATTATTGTTTTTCTCAACATGAACGTGAAACAATATAAACACGATAATCATATGCTGACTCGAGTATGCTGACTAGTACTACGTTCTGTACGATAACTGCGCAGTCTGCTTCTTTTTTTTTTCTTTTTTCTTTTTTTTCCCGTTTGCGCTGCCTGAGCTTAAATGCTTTTGTTGTTTATATATTTTGTTTACACATATTGTTTAATGTTTTCAACTAAAAGAAAACCTTAAGATATATAGTAAGCTTGTTGTGTATAGGCTATTGCCTAATGTATAAGCTTGTAAGAAATAATGACAAAAACCTTAAACTTAAAAAAAATAACGTAGGCTATCTCTCGTTAAACGACATTTAAATTTAAACCCAGAAGTCTGTCCCAACCACCGCCGCATTTAGTTTAATCTTAACTTTTTACTTTAGCTACTTTACTAGCTCCCTCCTCTTTCAGTCTGCTCCCTGCTCTGGCTCGTTCTTCATCTTCCTTGTGTTTTCTGGTGGACGGACGCGTACGCTCCGTTTGTTTCCATGATCATTTCTCGCGCTGGTTTCACTGCAAACTGCGCGCAGCCAATGGGCGTATGAAACGTCATCACGTAGCATTACGGCACAGTGTTTATGGGAAATGTAGGAAGTACTGGCAGGGGGATAAATGACCGAGAACAGAACCTTATGCATCACCGGCCAAACTGGCTAGTAAGTTTTTATTAACACCCGCCAAAATGAATTTTAACCCGGGTTTTTTGGCGGGTGTTAATTTAGAACCCTGCTGATTAGAATGATTATTGCACAGGTGTGCCTTAGGCTGGCCACAATAAAAGGCCACTCTAAAATGTGCAGTTTTACTGTATTGGGGGGTCCAGGGGGGTCCGGGGGGGACCCCCCCACAAAAAAAAGGTTGTTGATTGTGGACTGTGGAATGGTTGTCCACTCCTCTTCAATGGCTGTGCGAAGTTGCTTGATATTGGCAGGACCTGGAACACACTGTCGTATATGCCGATCCAGAGCATCCCAAACACATTCATTCATTCTGACTGCAGGAATGTCCACCAGAGCTGTTGCCTTTAATTGAATGTTCATTTCTCTACCATAAGCCATCTCCAAAGGCGTTTCAGAGAATTTGGCAGTACATCCAACAGGCCTCACAACTGCAGACCACGTGTAACCACACCAGCCCAGGACCTCCACATCCAGCATCTTCACCTCTAAGATCATCTGAGACCAGCCACCAGGACAGCTGCTGCAACAATAGGTTTGCATAACCAAAGAATTTCTGCACAAACTGTCAGAAACAGTCTCAGGGAAGCTCATCTGCATGCTTGTCGTCCTCATCGGGGTCTCGACCTGACTGCAGTTTGTCATCGTAACCGACTTGAGTGGGCAAATGCTCACATTCGATGGCATCTGGCACTTTGGAGAGGTGTTCTCTTCACGGATGAATACCGGTTTTCACTTTACAGGGCAGATGGCAGACAGCGTGTGGCGTCGTGTGGGTGAGCGGTTTGCTGATGTCAACGTTGTGGATCGAGTGGCCCATGGTGGCGGTGGGGTTATGGAATGGGCAGGCGTATGTTATGGACAACGAACACAGGTGCATTTTATTTATGGCATTTTGAATGCACAGAGATACCGTGATGAGATCCTGAGGCCCATTGTGCCATTCATCCACGACCATCGCCTCATGTTGCAGCATGATAATGCACAACCCCATGTTGCAAGGATCTGTACACAATTCCTGGGAGCTGAAAACATCCCAGTTCTTGCATGGCCATCATACTCACCAGAGATGTCATCCATTGAGCATGTTTAGGATGCTCTGGAGCGGTGTATACGACAGCGTGTTCCAGTTCCTGCCAATATCCAGCAACTTCGCACAGCCATTGAAGAGGAGAGGACCAACATTCCACAGGCCACAATCAACAACATTACTTTTTATTTAATGTTTACACAACATAATATAAAGTCACTAAATCGTTTTCTTTTCTTTAAAAAATGGCATAGAATTTTATCTAACCCATAAAAAAACAGCATTTCTAAGAACCCACGTTTTAAACTACAGCAGGCAACATTTGAAGTGGATCAAAACTTTTCATCAAAGTAATACATGAATTTTAAACAATACCCGTTCTTGTTTTAGGACAACTTTGATGAACTTTTTTGATCCACTTCAAACTGTAGATGTTAAAAGATTTTCCTGTTCTTTATCATGGACAGAGCTCAGAATATTCTAATGCTCAGAAAGGAGACTGGACAGGCACCTTGAAGTCGAGAGAGCAACATCAGTGTCACCCAGACTTGCAGGGATATTGCAGACATAAATCCACTCATCTTGACCTGAAGGAAGATCGTTTTAAATGTGGTCAATGAAGTAATGGGACAAACAAATATTTAAGTAAGACAAAGAGTGTTTAACCAAACATATTTCCAGAATACTGTCTGTTTAAGCCATGTGCATTAAAGTAGACTCTACATAAACAAATTTAACAACGGCATAGTTAATTACAACAAATAATCAAGCCAGCACCGCCTTAATTAGTATTGCTACATTCTGAAAAATGTCTTAGCAAATCTAAAAAAATAAATGGCATACTTACAGCCACAGATTTGTAAAGAGCAGACAATCCACACATCAACAGTTCACCTCCCCAACAGCCATTGCTTTATAGAGAAATTAAAGATAAAAAAAAAAAAAATAAGATAACTTCTGATGCAAACAAATAAGAAGTTTTGGTTCTGGTGAACAGATATATTTCTATTTGGTAAGGGGAGTCATCTAGGATATAGCTCAAGTTTAAATCGGGCTTTAAGGAAAATATTTGTCCTAGAAGTCTGGTCTGTTTTGGAATTTGAGGATTCAGTGCACTATCTATGGCATTCTCAGGGGCCGCATGCAGTGCAATTCAGCATTTTTGGATTATTTCGAAATTTGATTATTGTTTGCCAGGTTTGTTTATGGCATGAAAAGGAAAATCTCTAACCATCTGCATCCTGTCAAGGTTTATTACCTTTCTGGCGCTTTAACAACAGTTTGGGTGCAATCAAACTCACACTTTGTTGTCTAGACTAACCTTAACTTGAGGAAATAGCGTCTCTTGCTTTTTACACAAACTATATGATTAAAATCACTTGTGGCTAAACTATGCCAGTAAACCGACATAAAGAGTGGTGCTGGCAGATGATTTTTGGGCCACAGGGCAAATACTTCCAGGCAGCCACACGCCCCTGCTGACCTCAAATGAAAGATCGGTTGAAATATTTTTTATATATAGCTGGTTTTTTTTTGGTTTTTTTACTGTTGTTGTTAGAAACCCATTTAAAAAAAAAGGGACTACTTAGCTTTATTTTTATTTTTGCTTTAAATTGTAAACAACTGACTTTGAATCTTACAAATTATATATAACATTTTATAATACCATTAATTAACCATCTTTTAACCATCAATCTATAGTTTATATCAGGCATAATTTGATTTGAATGACAGTCTGTGATTACAAATAAGATAGATAGATAGATAGATAGATAGATAGATAGATAGATAGATAGATAGATAGATAGATAGATAGATAGATAGATAGATAGATAGATAGATAGATCCTGGATATAAAGTCTTCGCAAATTATGTGATATACAAAATATTACTCAAGAATATAATGCTTCCTGGCTCTTTCACTATAATAGAAAATATCAATAAAGGAACGAGCAGACTCCATAAGTAGACCTAAAACAACTTAAAAGTTATGCATGCGTCTAAGTATCACATTTTGATTATTATTCCTGTAACTTAAAAAGAAAATTAAACGATTGCAAACAGTTGTATTAACTAAAACTAATAAAACTATTAGCTCTATAAATCTATTTTTAATACAGTAATGTTTAAAATATGACTCACCTTGCAAAGCATGGCTGCGTTCTTTCGTGTTGTAAAAACACAAGTGTTGGCAAATCCTTGGCCTCAGAGTTATTCTGGCATTTGTGTGATTCGGGATACGAATGGAAGTGGAAGTGAGGAAGTTTGGGCATCCAATCGTGGGAAGCATAGCAATCAGTGTTTAGAAAGGCCCAGTGACGTTCAATGGATGGAAGCATACAATTACTAATTACCGAGTTAACAGCGACATCTAGTGGTGTGAACCATTTGTACAAAAACATCTCAGTTTTGGTAAAATGCCAATATACATTTGTCACGTTCAGGCACTCAAAAGGACGTTACAAATAAAGTTAGCCATGCTTAAACGAAGGATTGATATCTAGTTAGTTAGTACATCTTTTGACAGTATTATGCTGCCTTTTTTATAGCTCTTGGGGTCATGTTTAAAGTTGGAAAAGCCAACTAATGCCAAATCGAGTTGCTGATTTTTTAAAATTATAATTATTTTCAATAAACATGCCAATAATCACTTACATATCAAAATACAGTAACACTTTATTTAACAAATAGGGAACAAAAATGGTAACACTTTACAATAAGGTTCCATTTGTCCACATTATACAATAATTATTCTAAAAACTTCTAAGGCATTTATTAATCTTAGCTAATGTTAATGTTAATATCAACGTTAACTAATAGCTACATTATTAAAATCAAAAGTTGTATCTGTTAATATTATTTAATGGACCTGAGCTGACATGAACTTACAAAGATGAATAAATAATACAACATGTATTGCTCATTGTTAATGTTGGTTAAAGTCCCTGTAAAGTCAAAATTAAGTATGTGTTCTGAGGTTGTCACACCACAGAAAAATGTGTTATTAGCCACCCAGCCAAATTTGAATGATAAAAAAAGCCGGCAAGTACATAAAATAAGCTATCAAAATCTTGAAAAAATTAGCATTATTCTCCAGTAGCACCTCAATGCAGTACATAAGATCCACAGGGAGGAGTCGGATCAAGATCCGAGGGGTGGAGATGGGTAGGATTAGGGGTGGGTTTAGGGATTAGGGGTGTGTTTAGGGATCAGGGGGCGGAGATGGGTAGGTTTAGGTGTATGTAAGGTGGGAGGAGTTGGATCTGGATCCGACTCCTCCCCGTGGATTTCATGTTCTGCAGTGAGGACCATCTCTTATTCTCTTCTCTCAAACGCTGGGGGCGTGCCCGCTGGCTGCGCTGAAACCACGCCCACTCGCGGGAAAGCTGCCGACGGTGATATTAGCTGATACTGCTTTCGGGACGGGAGGATGAAGGCCGATAGTCGGTTCGGCCCCATTCACCAGTAACAGCGGATTGTCTCCGACGAAAGTTTATAAAATAAAATGATCACTACAGAGGCGGGTGTTGGCGGTGATCCTCAGCTCTCCATCAAGGTTGGCTCTTCACAAAATTAATCCACCTCTTCTTGATGTGATCGTTTTTAGGAAATTTAGACACCGATCTGTTTTGTACATGATCGCATCCAGGTAGTAGCCTACGCATTTCCGTGTCGAAGGTAGCCTGGTTAAAACCAGTCCATTCTCAGTTGTAACTGAGTTGTGGTCTGGCAAAGCGTCATAGACAAATCATTTCCAGAGGGGCGTCACCAACGGACGTCGCGGATAGACCTAAAACCAATCAGAGCGATGAAGGAGATGACGTATGCAGAGCGGCGGAGAATCTCAGAGTGTTGTTCTTTGCTCGGTTTTTAACAAAAAGGAAACGTTCAAATCGCTTAAAACAGACGCGATAGCTGATTCGAACGAGTGATGTTCGACGGCGGCATCCATCTTTGTAATGTAAGCTGCAAAATCTGCTTCAAAATCCCAGCGCTGTCGTCATCGTGTAAAGCCCGCCCCAACGTTTCTGATTGGTGCCTCGATTTCGACGGATTGGAAAAGGGTTTGAATGAGCTCTTTGCCAGACTAACTTTCAGAGCAAATCTAAATTTGCCGGAAGTTGTCTGGGTTTTCCCAGGCTATGTCGAAGGCATAGCTAGCTAGAAAACTGTAGGCTGTAGTAACTAATAGACAGTACTGACAGTAACTCGCGATTGAGCGGCAAACTGATGCGAATGTGCTCTATTGTTAGGGGAGGAGCCAGCCTCAGTGGCTCCAGTGCGTGTCCACGAGCTCAGGGGCTCCAGTGCGTCATCGAGCCCCGTTTTAGCCCCGCCCAATAAATCCGGAAAATAGCAATGGTGAAAAACTGTTTAACAGTCTAACTCCACAATTCAGTACTTCACAGTTCACAGTCTTTGTAATATGTTTTAGGCAATACATTTCTAACATTTATAATGGGTCTAGAATTTTTTTTTAGAATTGCCTTTACAGGGACTTTAAAGTCCCCGTGAACCGGAAGTTGCAAACGACTTTTCTCCAGTGTTGTGACGTATTTCCGAGAGAAACGGAATACTAAATGAGGCAAAATATTGGGCGTGGCTTTTTTTCCAACTAGCACCTGGTTGGATCTAGAAAAGTTGGTGTTTCATTCAGAAATGGAGGCAGATCTTTATGCAACAAGCCTATGGTAACACTAATTGGAATTATAAAACTATTTTTATTTGCTATTACTGCTGCAACCTTAACCGTTACGATAGTAACCTGCGTGTAACTCACTAACCCGTGAGTGCCACAACCAAAAATGCACCTCCTCGCCATCTCTCCTTTCACACGCTGTCAATGCTCGCAAACACACAGGCAGTCTGTCTACTGTCAGTTGGAGGGGTGTGGTTACGGATGTTAAGCAGACACCTAAACCGTCAAACCTACGTCATCAGGGAAGGTCCTCCAATGCAGAGGGGAGGGGAATTTTCAGATTTTGATTAAAGATTACGAAGCCAAAAAAACTTTTTGTGTGGATCGACTTGCATTGATGAATTGTTCACCACAAAACGATCAATTTAGGCAAACAAAGTATGATCAATTTTGAATTCATGGGGACTTTAATGCATTAGCCAATGTTAACTAATGGGCTTAATTTTTAAAGTGTTACCGAAAACGTATCAGGATATGCGGTGAACAGAGGACTCAAAAGCAGAAAGTTAGTGAGAACAAAGTTTATTTGCACACTTCGGGCAAAACAAACTCGTGAAGTGACACACGTGAACACATAACGAAGAGTGTGGGGACTCCAGAGCTGTCCGTACAGCCAACAACGGGCACACAGGCTGAGGAGACCGAGATGAGAGGAACAGCGAGAGAGAGCAAGAACAACGACCAGATGTCACTCCTCATCTGTAAATGTCCAGGGCACAGCAGCAAACACAGGAAATGCACAGATGAAAAGAATACAAACGAAGCACGAATGATCTACTGACAACAAGTGGCAGACACAGGAGAGAATATTTAAGGGAAACGGGAACAAGCGCCAGGTGACGGAAATCAGCTTGTGATCTGTGCGCACCTGCGCTGCACTGATCAGCGCTGATTCTGTCAGTATAGACACACCATGACGCTGATGGAATTGGTTGATGAGAGCGTGATCGAGAATGTCACGAGCCGGAACCCAGTGAAGGGTTGGTCAAAATCCCTTGCCTCTTCAAATACATATATAATCATATATCATTTTGAATGGTTATATACTTCCTTTATAAAAATCAATAATCAAATATATTCATTATCACATAATAATTTTTATATTCTTGTGCTTGTGAAATTATATTTTCTTAAATGCATGGATGCAAGTAACCAGTTTCTTTTAGGTGCATTCCAATCTTACTTTGAGATTGCACGTAGTACACGCAGGACACGAAGGCCACGTAACCCACAAGGCCGTTTGTCTCTTTCTCTGGGATCAGTAGAAAGGTTAGAGGGTCCTAAAGGCAGCGTGGGCACATATGATTCTTCGCTGGACATATGGTCAAGCTATATTGAGCGTTACTATCAAACTTTAATTGTTGTATTAAAATGTATTCTTTCCAGTGTATTTCCTTCCTTGGGAGTAAATGTCAGTAATCTGTTTTTCTCCTAAATGAGTGAATGTTTTAGCATTATGTTTTGGTATACTTAACTGATAATAAGGAGCTCAGACTCTCTTCAGCCTTGATGGGAGCTGTTATTTGCTAGTGTCTGTTATTTGTGTGTGTGTGCGTATGACATTCTATGTAGGTTCTGGACGGTTGGACCAGACACCCCGGCGCCCTTCTCTAACCTGCGAGGCCACCACAGGCCTAAATCCAATGAGTGGACGACAACTATCTTTACTAATGGCGATAGGCACCCCTATCTCCTCACATGTGTTCAATTGTTTAGGTTTTCATGTTTCTTAGCCAATGAGAATCATTCAACCTGTAAGCAATGACGTAGCTTAGACCTTGGAAATGGTATAACTGCTGTGATCTTTGTAACTGTAAGTGGGGCGGCCTACGAACTCCTGTGTGAGTCTTGAAGCTGACTTCTGCTGATGAAAATGCAAACTATCTTCAGTAAAACTTTTCTTTAATTTTTTATAATTCTGACTCCGGGTCTTCATTCTTCATATCTGGTTCTGGGTCTTTGACTGTATACCCCTTACACCAGCATCTCTCCTCCGGACCATAGCCCTCCCAGTCTACCGGGTATTGATGACCTCTACCCCTTCGCTTCACATCAAGGTGCCACCGTACAGTATAAGCCGACGACCCCTCAATGAGTCTAGGAGGTGGAGGGGGGAACAAATGACGTGCTTGATTTTCGAGACATTAAACCTGGGTGGATATTCTTAAACTGGGTGGTTAATTTGAATCGAACCGACACCGGACTGAGCACCTCAGTGAAAACGGTCAAAATAAATTTGGGTCCCAGTTTACGTGAGGGAAGTTTGAGAGGGATGTCCTGGGAGATAAGCAGACCTTCTGACAACACACGTAAAGTGGGGGCTAATGCCTTGTTCCTGTCGCCAGTCCGAGTGAGGGCTTCTCTGGCAATCCTCCACATACGGAGGCACAAGGCCGGACTTACCATTGGGCTTGACTGGGCTCAAGCCCATGGGCCCCGCCCAATAGGGGGCCCCGCCCGTTTACGTTTGATTTTTTCAATAATATGTCAGTCATTTAATTTTTCATTTAAAGTTGGTCTAGCATTGTTACCTGGACCTGCCCTGCAATGAAAAATGTCATTTAAGTAGCTAAATTAAATGTCAGTCAT